TGTCAACTCGGATAGTTTGCATTTAGTATCTATAAGTAGCACGTGCATAACACTATAAATGATTTTAACGAACGATGAATGACTTCAATGAATCTGTCGTAGAGATCGGATTTTCAATAACTATAAAACGAGATAATTTAATTGTCATCATTTTGTAGACGATAATTTTTGTTCTTGTTGTTATTAAATTACAACAGTTTCGGATATACCAAGCGACTCGACATGCGAGCCGTGCAGCCCCTCGAGGGGGCACGTGAGAAACATTAATCTCGTTCGAGCCAGCGATACTTGAACGTTATTGTGACAACCACCCCAATATTGTGGCAGGGACATCCGCATGATTTTAACAGGTGATAAACTGGATGTGGATATCGATTCGATGGGAGAATTATAGTTCGGACGTGGACAGTGAGCAGGATAATTCAGGAAACAATTAATCAGTATAAATGTTAATACAGAGTTCATCTATTCTGTGTTAGTCAAAACTGCAGAAGAAATTCCTGTCACGCTATTGAGTGTCAGTGTCAGTACATGTATACACAGTTTGTAAACTTTGTACTGTTTCTCTGAAAGAGTTGAACTAAAAATCGCACGGATTCGAGAAAGTAAGAAGGCCTGCCGATAGGATTCGATCGCGGCTAACCAGTTTTTGCTGGCCGAGATCAAAGCACCGGCTTCGTCTCTCCCGTTCGCTGGAGATCGCATCGACGAATTATGCTCGTTAACGAGCGAGCAAGAGCGAAGCCGAAGCAACCAGCGTGGTCTTGAATCGAATCGAAGGACCGGCGAGAGAGAAAGAGAAAAAGCGGCAAAGCTCTCGGACCCGGCCGTGTGGACGGGGGCAGGTAAAAGAGTGGGTAGTGAACGACGACCGGCGAACTGGAATTGACACGAGAAGGGAAAAGGAAAATAATAGGAAAGCACCGGGGACAAAGGGCGGAACCGAGGCGAACCCGGAAACCTTTCACACAGCCAGGGGAGAAGAGAGCGAACGTGACAGGCCTCTGCCCCTGCGCCTGTGAGAGACGTGGCACGCGGGTCGCGTTTAACCGTGGTTTAGGATCCATATAACCGAGGATCCTTCAAATGTACGAAGATTGACTTAATTAGCTCGCGGAACCGTCCTACTGAATAATGGGAAAGCCGTGGTTGTTTTTTCAACAAATTTCACCGATCATCTGACATCGCTTGACAAACCTGATTTTCAAAGACAGACTAGAACGATGATATGTCTGAATATTAAAAAACAGAAGTATGTGCATAATTCTAGAGACTCTGTTACTCTGCAAATATCAGTTGCTTATAAATAAAATGTGCAGAAATTATAAATGAATAATACGACTACTATGAATCTCAGAAGCTGGACGTGTATTTCTATGTCTAAAACAATTTGCACACTCATACTGTGAATACTTTATTTTAAATAAAAGTGGATCTATTTATAAAGCGTGAAAAACCACTTAAATATTAGAATAATCAGTACCTAATGGGGAATATCGAATGAGTATACGGCATGAAACGGAACGCTGGAAAGTGCACGTAATTAAATTTTGAAAATCAAGTTATAAGCCTCTTTGCGTTCGACTGTGGTGCGCTTTCAAAGCATTGGATCGGAGGAACGAATGGAGGAAAAGAGGAAACGCTCGACGTGCACGTGTCAAAGCTGAAAGAGCGCGCGCACGCGTATGTATAAACCGTGATTGAAAGAAAAAAGCCGGAAACATAATGTTGAGAAGGAAGGGAGCGGCGTACGAGAAAGTGAATTAAAAAGGCGGAATTGCAAGACAAAGAGAGCCTGAGTAAAGGAGAAAAGGGGAGGAGTGCACGAGGGAATTACTTGCAAAGTGAAGAATAAAATACTTGATGAAGTAAGGAACAAAGTACGGCTAGAAGGAAAATAAGAAACTGAACAGTCAGTGTACAACCTCGTTCAGAAGTTCTCAGAAATATTACAGTTAACGAACTGTAAAAATACAAATACTAAAATTAAAGAATTCCATGGATAATCGTAATTATTATATTTTTACATACTTCGAAGAGGTTCATTATAATAAATGATCTAAAATTCTGGAAACTGTCTCAAGACTCATGAACGCCAATGTAAACGCGAAAAATAAGGGAATGTATAAACGCAGGGCGAAGGACGGTGGTTGAAAGTCTGCATGAATGGCTGGCATTGAGAAGCATCAAGAAAGTGCAGCTGCTTCGCACGTACGATGCTTGCACAAAATGTTTCACTGTTGATACGTCGGTGCCTGTGCGAGAGTTTCACAAACATTTTTCACTCCATCTTCTTCATTATTAAAAAGAAGAAAACAGTCGTGCATGATTAATATTAGAAATATCAAGATCACGTTCATCATAAAAATCCTTCGTAATCACAAAATCATTTTATTACCTTATTATTATTAAATTATTTAATTATAATTTAAATTATGCAGTAAAAGGAACACACGAATTATAATAGAATAAAAGAACATCTAACATATACACTCATTCATGTATGCATTACACTTGATTAAACAATTTTCTTGACATTGAAAATGGAGCAATCAACCTTTCATTATCACTTCTCAAACAGAAGAAAATCAGAAGCGTCACCGTCAACCTTGCCAAGCCCCTCCGACAAACTCACGGTACTGGTTTCCAAGACGTTATTTAAACATTAAATTAAGAAATACGCAACTGATGCGGTGAACGAACCGCAAACGCTAATGAGCCGCGCACGGTTAATGAAATTTCTTGTTCGAGCCTGAGAAAAAACGCGATCGATCATTCGGCCGATTCGATATTAATTTGCAACGCGGCTGTAAAGGGAAACGAGAAAGAGAGAAGGAGAGGCCGCGAGAGCCATCGATCAAAGTGTCGCCAGGAGCTTTTCTCGCTTGCGACACGGGACGGGACGAGAAGATCGAGCCGGAGAAAAATCGAGCGGAGAAAACGAACAACGTGCACTGGTGTTGAACCAGTATCATTACCGAGCTTCCACCGAAGAATACGGATTAAGAAGACATGAGATAAAGCACCTGAATACATATATTATCTCATCGTCTTAAGTAGACCGTGGATTCTCGAAATCATTTAGTTTTAATGTTCAGTTAATCCAGTATATAGGAGTTCTTTCATCGTACATTCTGATAAAGTGTGACATTTATGCATTACACGATGCAGACTGCAATTGCATAATTCAAGAATCGTGTTCCAGTTCATTTTTCCTCTCATATCAGATTAAAATTATATTCAAATAAACCACGGTAATCCAATTTCATACAGAGAACCAAAATAAAATACATATCATGTACAGATTTAAATTTCGTTTTTAAAAACGTATGACAATACATAAAAATATGCACAGAGATTATCAGATCGAAATGGGATTGTCACATGTCTATAAACCGTAACAGACGGCATTGTGACGAGGTTTTAAGAATAAATGGATTGCGTTATTTGACACGAGTTCTGTGTTGCAAAAGTCTGGCTGGTAACGAACACTTGGGAACAGACAGTGGAAGTATAAGCAAGTAGGAGCGGCGTTGATAGGGAGTAATGAATGGCGCGCGATGCGATGCGATGCCTTCTGCTGTTCAAAAGTGGCGATCCGAGAATAGCTAACGCAAATAGAACGTCTCCTTCCCCGTATCTCTCTGCTCGCAGATAATTCCCGTATCTTTCCTCGCGACCGCGAGGAAACATCAGAACGGCTAGCGACCGTGCGCGCAAGGGGATACGAGATACCACCGCGGATGCCGCAGAGTTTCTGCTTTTCCGGACGCTTGAATTTGAATGCGTGTACTACTGCGAGCGACCGGTTGCAAGTTGCAACCTCGCTTCCAACGATTGTGAACTTGTTGCTTGGCAACCTACAACTTTAGAGCGGCGTTTCACGGTTAATTAACTGCCGGCTGTTATTTACTGCTCTAACGGAGCCGTTAAGCAACGCTACTGATAAAGCGTTAAAGAACGGCCGAGGAAAGAAAATGCTGTTTACAGAGCTGAGGGGCTACTCGAGGAATATCTTATTTTTAAACTTCTCGGCCATCCTTTCATCTGATTAGCAAGTAATTTATTATTAGTAATTAAGAGGGAAAATAGGTAGAGGAAAAACTGGTATTAAGTGGTACAGGTTTTTTGGTATACAGAGAAGTCCTCTGTCGTTACATACTTCGAACTGTATTTTGCATTTTTATATAAATTGATTTTCTAAAACGAGGATCGATAATGTAAATCACCACAAGCTTTCCAATCACGTTTTATTATATGTTATCACCCAAATGGAATAATTCCTGAAAATGCTCGGTAATAACCGTGGATGGCGAGCCCGTAAAATGAAATTTCCCAGCTATCCGACTTCAGCACGTATTTGCGATTATGTATTATTACGTTCACGGAACGCGTGTAAATTTTCTTAATTCAATTACGCCCTTCGTATTCGACCGGCTGAATTAATTAACCGGTGCAACAAACTCGCATTGGAATCGCTTTATTAAAAGCCTACTTATGGCCAGCGCCCGAATTAAATTTGGACGATTTTCCGAGCGGAAATTGTTCGATTTTCGCGTCATTTCACTGATCCGTACCAGAGGTTTTACATTAACGAAATTACAGTTAAACCGTGGTAGGCCCGTTCTTCACGGGAAAGTTTCGTTCACGCTTCGAACCACCGTTAATTTAATAATCCATCTGGAAATGAAAATTACTATCAGTTATTCGCACTTGATCGACATGCTTTCCAATGTAATTCATTATTATTAACGTCAATCCCTTATTTAAAAAGAATCTTCGGTAAATAGGATCAAAACCACACTGTGATTACAGATTTATTAAACCATTAAAAGCATCAAGTGCATACATACAAATTGCGTTATTAAACTTTGATGAACAAATAAAAAGCGATGCTCGAGAGATAAAATAATAAAAGTATAAATAATTGATTGAACGGATTTAAAAAAACTGTAGACCAATAACAAATTTGATAAATTTCTCTCGTTTTATGGTTGCAGATACACGAAGACGGTGGTGGACTCGAGCCTGATGGCGCAGAGGTATAACCCCGAGTTCACCATAACGACAATGTCACCGACGACAGCTTCCTACGGCAATGCGAACACCAGCGAGCTCATTGATCAATTGAGGCACATTAATCAGGTGAGTCCACGATCCGCTTCGTAGTAAGTATATGTAATTTGTTCCTCGGCTCAGCCTTGGCTGACCGTGTTTCCAATTGAATTGTGCGCGCGTTCTCTCGTTCACATCCTGTTTTCAACTTCGACCGTACAAGATTTCCCCTTGCTCGAATTTACTGTAGTATTTCTATTAAACAAATGTATGAATGATGACGTCAAACGATTATTATATACAGTTTATTAATTTTCTTTCACAATCGTTTAATCGTCCCTGGATTGAAGTCGTCTGTGCAGTCGTTAAATACAATTATTCTAAATATTACGAGAACGGAGACGTTAAAATCTTTAGAACAATGAGTCGTATCTACAGCGTAGAACCGGTTGATTACACGAATTTGTTAACAATTCTTAAGGACTCTGTTCTATGAATGGGAACCGTGGACACACACAATGGTCGTCTCCCAGTCGTAATTACGAAGCAAACGAGGCATTCTACTGTACTTTACCTCCGCGTAATCTCGTTCGTGATTATTAGTTTAACGCGAAAATCGCTTTAAGCGAATGCGGGTAGCGGCGTTTAATCCTTCCGTAATCCAAATGTACCTTCCGGGCGCAGACTACGTCAACCGCTGTGGTTCAACTGAGCTCGAGAAGCGCGTCATGAACTTTAAGCTAACATTACTTACAGATTTCCTTGTTTTTTATAAGAGCCGAGTCAACACCAGAAAATTTACTCTCCTGCGATTTCGGTACAAGACTGACCAGAAAGAATAATTTCCAATCTGTCAGTACTTAAAAATATATGGAATTGAATATAAATTAAATGATTAAAATCAATATAATAATTTCTTTAATTCTTAATAATTCAACTCCTTATTAAATTACTTTTTACCCAATTCAAGAATTGTTACAATGTATTTTTTGTTCACAAAATGTATTATTAAATAAAAACAAACAAACAAACAACTTGTTATTAAAATCTATAAAGTGTAAATAATACACGAGTATCGTTTTCAAATTTTATTCCCTGTTTTATTTCGTTTAAAATGGCTATTTGCGCTTCAATGAATACACATCAATTTCGAAGCGGAATCAACGTAAATAATAAAAACTAATAACGAACGCGATATTGCGTCTACTGCGCGACGTAATTGAAAACTTCATACATGATAGATCAAATAAAGTCAATAGACTCGATTCACTTAATGGAATAACAGGCAACATTAGTGAATTAACTAAATGAGATAAAACGGACACACATAGGAGAAGTGAATGTGTTGAAACGTTTCATTCAGAAGCAATGAGCTAAAAATATTTACAAGATTATTATGCATATAAGCTTGATATAAAAAGATGTATTCTATTACAGAGCTCTTTTTATACCTCGCCTTAAATGAATCATAACTTGGTAAAACGTGTACCCGATTCTGACTCTATTTCCAAATAAGGTAGCAATTAGTTTCACAAGTTAGATTAGTCTGCGTAGCGGTGCGTAAGTCATACCCGAGTATATGTGTAATAAGGATTTCATTAATTACTGATTTCACGAAGTGGAAACTTGTCTCGATGTGATTTGCTAAATGAAATACATCAGTTCTAGGAGTCTTGATGGAAGCGTATCAACAAATGTGAATGTAGGTTCCGCGAATCGTGTCGCGTTTAATTGCTAATTGGATCGATGAATACGAATATACAAATTATTTTCTGCTCTTCAATTTATTAAGCGATTATAAATTATGAAGATATGACTCTTTCGAAATGAATAAAGATATCATAGCTAAAAAGAGAAGAACTTATTTTACAAAAAATATTACGAAATATCATTTAACTCTTCAGATAAATAGAACTAAGTTAAAAGTGAATGAGAAACTCCTACGAAAGAACATGACGTTAACTCGAATCTAGAATTAAAGAGGAATTTTATGTTACGTCTTCACAGCAGATAAGTTGAAATGATCATCTTGGAACTCAACGACTCGTGTCGGATCATCCGATATCTAACCATCGGTTAACTCGTTACTCGTCGGTACGCATTTGGAGTCGAGGTTTAAGCGTGCGCGTTAATTAATTCATACGTCTAGAAATCAAGCCGGCGACTGCTCGGTTGCGTGTAAGTAAGATACGACACCTGCACGGCCGTCAACCGCAGGCGTATCGCACCTGTGTAATCCAATTTGAAATCGTAACAGCGGCAGACGAAGAAGAAGGCAACGTGCGCGCCGATACGCATAGTAGTTAGTAGTGGGTAGCAGGGTATCACAATGCGCGAACTTATGAATGATTTATGAACGCATCCACGCGACTATGTCGCCTATATGTATACAGGGTGAATTAATCAGGAATATGTCCTCCGGCATGGTGACTCGTTGCCTTAATGAATGACGCGAGCTATATATTTTTATTTATTAGAAATAGCTCTACGTACACGTTTCAGCAGACGTCATCGTGAATCGCTGATGTTTTAGGATCTCGTTTAAAACAG